AATTGCTGTCCAATTAACTGATGACACTGGATTAAAAACTACAGAAGAACTGTAATTGGTTTGGACAATGCCATAGATTATCTCTCTCATTTTTTTGGTGAAGTGTGAGAATCTAAAATAAACCCAGGCATCCTGGATGATCTGTGAAGTTCTCCTCAGAAAGACTGATCTTTGATCTACTTTTTCTGGAGATCATGAAGATTTCTTATTCTGATGACTACTGGGATATTTTTTTTTTCTGGATACAATGAATATGATTTACGTTCCTTTACTGCACAGGTAAAATCCTTTAAATTCTCCCTCCAGAGACCAATATGGTTATGGAAGAGAATACTGCCTGGTACCATAATGGCATGGGAAAGGAACTAAAACAGGTGGATGCCCCACAGCATAGCTGAAGCAACTAAGAATAGTAATAGCGGAGCAGCTCATCTGCTGTTGACTTTGCTGTAACGTAACCTTTCTAATGCTATCTTCAAATCTACACTCGTGCCTAGTTACCCTGTAACTTAGTTTGCAACCTTCTCTTCTTTTTTCTTCTTCCTTTGCTTCATGAGATAGGCTTCTTCCTGAAGTATAATTGTGGTATCAGCCTAACGGGCTGAAACGGCGTCTCAAACTGCGGTAGGCAGTATGTCTATCTGATTGATCATCATAAAGCAGAGTGGCAGCGGGAGGCAAAGTCATCGGCACCGAATGTTCTACGAAGGCCTTTTTTGTACTGAGATTAAGCTACCATGAAATATTTATGCTCACTTCTGCATGCGCTTTATTGTCTGTTGAATATGTGCTTAGAAAGAGTTTGCTTAACCAATATAATACTGCCAGCAGTGTTATGATGCAGAAGCTAGTGAGTTTATGCCAACAGTTAATTTTTGTTCTTAAATAAAGCTTTTTACACTTATGCCTTGTCATTATCTCTTTGTGTACATTATTTCCATACAACTGTATCATATATATTTACATGATCTGAGTGTACTTACTGCATGCAGTTCTATAAGAATTTCATTTGATACAATATAATTCACTTTGAAATCCTCAGTACATAAAATAAAGTAGTAATAATGATATTATGTCGAACTTTGCCAATTGATTCATCTTTTCAATGAAATATAAAAGAAGTCCTCTGCTACAAATTACTGTAAATGGAAGAAAATGTCCTAAAGTACAGATATTTGAAGACTTTCCTCAAAACTTGTCCTTTCTCAAGCTGAGAGCACAATCTGCCTAATTTTCCACTGCAAACACTGGCCATTGCAGAAATTGCAGAATGGTTTTGCAATAATTATTTTGTACTTTAACATGAATTAGATGTAAGGGTCAAAGAAATTAACACCAGCACACCATTTAATCTAGGACATTAATCATTGTTAACTCATCTAATTTTACAATTAAACTCAATACTCAATCTGTCAACCCTTCAGAGTATCCAATCTTTCTGTTCAGTCTTAGCATTTTTTGGTTTTTATTTAGAAAGTTCATTAATGTAATAAATTCCATTTTATTTTCAAACTATTCTTGTGCTTTACTTTACAAAGTACAATATTAGATATGATCAGATAATTATTATACTTTGGTTAGAGTGTATGCAATTCGTGGTGCTACCAGGAATGTGAAACAATGTTATTCTGCAAAACATTATCTTATGGTCTAAAAACAAGCTAGAGACATGGCAAATAAAGAAGACTGAAGAATGATAAGGCACAAAGCCTTTATCTCTGTATTGCTCGTTCCATTTTGGCTGATATTAATACCGGCTGAATAATTATCACAAGGATATGCAGCGGCCGACTGCAAGTGAATGAATGTGCGGTCTCACAAAATTTCCAGCTACAGAAATTCCTGGGCTAAGGCTGCTATTGTATATGACACCAACTTGAATGACCAGAGCATGGAAGTACGGCATAGCCAGGACCCTTGTACGCCTTGCTGTAACTAACAGGGTTCTTTTTCTGATCAGCACTGAAACGAGATAGCCAGGTAATGTGAAGTCCGCTCACTGATGCCCTCCAGAAAATAAAGAAGTCCTCTCCCTTGAGCTAAAACTTCACAAAACGTGAACTACCCAGAGAAAAGATTTCTTCTAAACTGGCAGCACCTCCCAGCATGCAGCCTGGCATACCAGGCTGAAGCTAATGACACCACTGTTTGCAGAGGACTAACTGATGAAGAGATCATATCACGTTGATGTGATAAATACTATAATGAGTATACTTTTCCACAAAACCAGCATACAACCTTTGCACTACTGGACAGCAACCAAAGTTAATGAGTAGTGCCACACGTACTGAAATGCCTGTTAAAGTTGGTCTTGTAAGCAGGTAAGCATAATTTCAAGAAGTGTGTCACCACATTATATTTTAACCATGTAAACATGGAAATGTACAACAGATCAGGGACCTGACCTCCCAGGAGAAGAAGTCTCCCTAGTGTTTGAAAAATAAAAGGACTACTTGTAAAGGTTGAAATCGACTGTATGAAAATACAAAGAGTACGTAAGAACTGTTTCTGCCTTGCCCCAGGTTATAGAAGGATGCAAAGTATAAAATACTATATTTTTAAATAAGTAAACTGCGTAGCTTGTTCAGGCTAGGGGAGACTGCCACTGAATACAAGCCTTTCATGTTGATACTTTTCACCAGGAACACTATAATATCTTCTGAGTGAAGTTCCCAGTCTTCCTTCTATCATTTGAGTATTTCGGAGTGATATCAAGGCTGACAGATGAATATTTACTGTTGGCAAATCCAGTAAACTTCAGCAAAACAATAAACTCCAACAAAAAGCTCACATGAATTCTGCACTTGGGTTAGGTTTAGCAATTATTAATAACCTATTATGTTTTAAGAAATGCTGTTTCTAGTTCAAGAAATGTTAAATACAGGAAAAAATCCAGCATCTGAGACTGTCAGCTGGCTCACTACTGGAAATTACTGTTCTGAAGAGTTCAGACATCATTAAAGGTGAGAATAATACAACACAGTCATGTTCCTTTTCCTTTCATTTTCTCCTGTCCTCTATATTAAATCAGAAATCAGAGAAGGATATGACCTCACAGGCAACCTACTTTCCTCTTCTGCCAGTGCAGACTCATTCTCTATGATACTACCCGTTTCTGAGAGCTTTTCAAAGCCTGTCTTTAAAATATTCTGATGGTTTTTCCTTTGTTAATTTTGATATATTATTTTACAGTCTAACAGCTCCCTGTTAGTAAGGTTTTCCTGATAGTCAGCCTGAAGCTTTCTCTCATAATTCATTCCCTTAACTGTAAATTTCTTTATTCAGATTCAGTTCTATTTATGCCACACCAGACTGCACTGTTCTTCTGTTATTATAATGTTATGTTTTGAGCTAAAGTCTAATTTTTTTCTTTCAATTATTTCTTTTACTGAAAGGCAAAAATCTTATACTGAAGTGAATACCTACAGTACAAATTATTTTTTGCCCCCAAAAAGCTGTTTGCAAATTTCTGAGGTTTATTTTATTTTATTTTCTGTCTGTTTTCATAAGTCTTCATTAAAAAAACCCCACTGTCTTTTTGTGTTCCTTGATATTTATACTGCCTACTTATTTATTACTACCCCTGAAGTTTATTAGGAATGCTTGTTTTCTCTTCCAGACAAATGAAGATATGAAGAAAATACACGACTCTACACTATGCAAAAAATACTGCAATAGGACGATCTGTCCTCTTCATACTTTTGATACCTTGAGTTTACTTGGCTTATTTTTCCTCTCCCTGGAACCCACTCCTATCAAAACTATTTAAATAAGTTTTGTAGAATTACATTTATCTTCCTAATATATGTTAGTTGTAAGTCTGGGACTACTACTTAGTCTTAGTTCACTCTTCTCTTGAGGGTGTAGTTTGTCGTAGCATTTTTCCATTTTACTCTAACATCAAATTATACTTTAATGTTAAGTATTGCAGTTATGGCCTGACATTTACACAGTCACCTTTTTCCTCCCTTTCTACATTTTCTATTGAGTTGTTAAATATAATTCACAATTGTATTTGGGAATTCACACCTATAAATGAACCTTTTTTTTTTTTTTCTCATTTAAGGTAAAGCCAATCTTATTTTAAATCATTGCAAAAAGTAAAAAAAAAAATTTAAAAGCGTCATTTTTCTGTCACTGCAACTGCACATATGGCTTGCCAACTCTTTAAGGAATGATCAAAATCAGTCAAATGCCTAGAATTCCAGACGATGAAGGCAAAAGTCTTCCTCAAAACCACAGTCATTCATTGTTCATCCAAGTTGCACGCTCTGTATTGACCCAGACTGACTATAGCAACCATAACTGGTTTGGGTGCAACGCTGTGCAAACATGTGGACAAGGCCACAGCCAAAGTCTCACCCGGACCAATAAGCCCCCCTGGAACAGGGGCGCAAAATACACAACCAGCTGAACGGATCTGAGCCAGCTTAATGGACACAGGACCACCTGGGCTGACTCCACATACAGACACTTTATTACCTTCGTGCCTTAACTTTTAACATGCCTCACCACACCTGTATTACCAGTACCCAAACGCCCATTACTGCAACAGGGAAAAGTTCACTCATACTGAACTGGTGATACAATTAAGTAAATAAACCATTCAATGCTAATAATTTTCCCCTTGCCCCCTTCTTTGTGTCCTATTATCCCATTTCTTCTTACAGGAAAACCACAGGTAGAATATGTACTGAATTGAGTACATACTTCATCACTGCACTGGGAGTCTTCATCAAGTTCTCTAATAATATGTAGCTGAACGGAATTTATCTGCACTGGGAATGCCACTGTCACAAACACAACAGTGGAGTGTCATTTACTCTAACGCTGCCAATTGAATAAGTTCTAAGAGATGAGAAGTGCTCCTATTTAGCCCATTCCTTTAATTCTAAATTTAAAGAAGAAAATGTCCTAATATAATGAATAAAAAATAAAAGGAATTAAAATAAAATAATTAAAATAATAATTAAAATAATTAAATAATGCTTTGCAAACACTTACAGTCCATAAATCTGTGGAGCAATTTCTAGTCGGTTCAGATGCATGTACAGCTCAATATCATGTTTCTTCAGTAGATGATCCTGAATTTGGTTTACCTTTGCTACAATAGCAATAGATGGGCCTAAGTCCTGTGGCCTTGCAAATGGCATAGGTGTAATCATCACATCTTTCTCCTGCAGACACAGAAAACAGGGGGGGAAAAAAGAACATCCCATGAAGCCTTATTGTCTAAAGGGATTGTCTACAAGAGATTTGCTTTGTTGTAATCCTTGGCTTCCAAATAAACATAAAAATATTAATAACTGGTTTCTTTTCCAGCAAAAGAGGAATCTCAAGTATCCAATTCTGTGGAAAGTATTGTGGGATTCCCCTTCCCAGACATGCCAAGGTTCATCCCCTCATTCTGCATGTCAATTTTTACTTGCGTGCTTTACTTTTCATGCTCTGACAAAGTGTTGACAGCTTTATTTTAGCTTTAATATCAGCAGTCTGAGTCAGTCCAGAGCAAAGCAGATGAATGGTAACTTAGTAGAGAACATATGCCCTCAGAGGACAATAAACTGCATACCAAATAGGAAATAACTCATTTTTGAACAATCCTTTCTAAACAGGCTTCCCTTGTTCAGAAAAACTGGTGGCTGTATCTCAAAATCTACACAACTTTGATAAAGCAACAGAAAACTTTTAAAACAAAAAAAGAGATAGAACAGTGAGATGAACCCAATGATTAGAAGGTAGTTGGTTGGACCTAAAGCTTGTGCAAACTACATCATGATCTAGAACATGACACACACCAGGTGAAAACAGAGGAAGAAAACTACTGGAGTATTGGCATCCTTGAACCTGATACCACTTCAAATTTTTTCTTCTTGCGAAAGAGTGAAGTATTATTGAAAAAGAGACAGAATGCTAGAAAGGAATGCAGAAAGTAATGAACTGCACTGAATAGGAAACATGTAAAAAGGAGGATGAGAAATAAAAAAGAACAAGTCAAACCTATCAAGGGAAAGATTGGCGAAAGGGAAATTGAGAATTAAGCTGTCAGGAACAATGTTAAAGTTACAAAAGAGGGAAAATTGGAACAGTAAGAACAGAAGATTTTGCAATGACTTTGTTGCAATCTGTCATCATGGCTCTCTGATCTGAAAGCTTCACCTTAAAAAATAGTTACTGTTTTTCTACCCTTTTGCTCAGTATATTGATAGAGAAGCATTATCAAGGTCAAAGGGTTAATAATTTCAGAAGACTTCATTACAGCTTAAACTGTTGAAAGACAAATTCCCTTGGTTCAATACAGTGACAAGCACATTATTTTAAACATTCAATAACAAAGAAAGGGTTTTTTTGTTGTATGAAGTATCCCCAAGGTTGTTTCCTATGGTTATAGTCCCTCTTCAACCCCACTCTCTCTGTATCAGCATTTTAAGAGGAAGGTAGAGAAGTACCCATATTTCACAATCATTTACAACATGGTTTAACATTCAAGTGGGCAGTGAACATTTAATAATTTCTACCAAAAAGCCTATTTTTTTATGTTGACCTCATTTGCTAGAAATATTTTTTCTTAATTATTCCATTTCTGTACTGCAGAAAATATGGTATAATGCTGAGCAGTGATTTCAGGTAACATGTTTCTATTTAAGGATCTGATTGATTATAAATTTTATCTTAAAATCTGCTTAATTGTTGCTTTGCTGTGGCAATTGCAGCAAAGGGACTGATCTGCCTATTACCGTGCGGTGGTTTTGCCATACTGTTGTGGTACCAAGACATATTAATTTAAGATGCCCCAGCAAATCGCTTGACAAAAGATCCCTCAGACTGTCAAATAAAGCTCACCGAAATGGCATCCCTTCATTCAACATCTTTGCTGTTCTACCAAACAGAAATTTAAAAGAGAACATCTAATGTCTTAGGGACTAATAAGAAATGTTGCTACTTACTTAAATACTAAAGTTCTTCACAGCTGCAGGTATGTTGAGAAAGGATATTTCTACTCTATTCTATTCTATTAACTTCTTTATTATCAAATCAGGCAGCCTTCTTTTTACCCTGATTTTTGTTTCTCCATTGTATGGCTATTTCCTATTGTTGTTTCAGACCCATTTCATTATTTTCTTGGCCACATGCTAGAATGCAAAATACTAAAAAGGGTATCCACTAATCTCCTTCTAATCTAATCTACACAGAAAACCACTCTTAAAGTACAATATGATAACACTGCCTTAATGTTAAATGCCAGTCTAGTAATTTTTTGCATAAACATATCAATTTATCTTTGAAACTAATCATAAAAGTCTGTAACTCTACATATTCATAGACTATGCATGTTCCATCAGTTGGCACACACCTGGGGTATGAACTTTATTCTGGTTTATTCGAGTTGCGTTTAACTTCAGCTTGACCACTGTATGCACTCATAACTCCGATGACTCAAAAGATCACCGTTTTTAAGCTTTTCTCAATTATAGGCACAGATTCTTCTATAGAAATCTCAGCAGTAGAATCTTTCTGCTTATTTGAACTTGTAATATTAAAAGACTAACTAGTTACTCAGATTAGCCTTCACAGCATTAGTTGTCTGTGGGTTTAAAGAGACAGACTCTTAAACACTGGCTCAAGTGTCAGAAGATTCTGAATATCAAAACTAATGCAAGCTTCCTCTTACGGAGGAGCGCCTGAACTAGAATTATTTGTCACTGCAGCATTTGTGCACCTTGGCATAATGCAGTGCTGACACATTGCTGACTGTCAGACTGACTGAGTATCAACATGGCTAAGTGCATCAAATAATATATGCTGGCTTGCCATTTTTAAAAGCATAGTAAATGGCATCCATCAAACTGCAGTTCATCAGCATCTCAGAAATTAACCCCATTAACAGAAATCTTCAAAGCATGACAGAATCTGTGGAGACAGTAGTTGCAATCAATAATCAATTCCTTTGCTGTCCATGCCTCCTGATCTGGTGCACTCCACCAAGAAGCTCAGTGGATAACCAGAGTGCATGTATGTCTATTGTCTCCGCTCACATAATCTGTTTCAGAAAGTGACAATACATTTAGTCAGTTGAAATTACTCAAAAAAATCACATCAGCTGGTGTGAAAGAAACAGCCCAAACAGAAAGATGCTCAAATAAACTAATAGAACTAAGCTGCCAAAATGTTCAACTAGAAATGACTCACAGTGCCTGTGCTTAAAGCACAGAAGCCAAGTGGACAACATGATACTGCCCATACTCACTATATATTAAGTTGCCACATGAGACAAAACACCCATTTTCTTTTTGCGAGCTTCTATATCTTGGAAAAAATTTGAATGCATGGGTTTAGTCGTCTACTGCTAACATGAAATATAAATGATCAATCCCAAAGGGACGCAGTTCCCAAAAAAGAGAAAAAGAGGGACAGCTCAGAGATGTGCTATACTGTTTACAGGAGAGCATAAGAATCACCTCCAAGAACCGTTTAAATACAGATACCAGTGAAATGCAGCTGAAAAATTTGGATCAAGTATTAGGAACAGAGTCACCAAATCCTGCCACAAAACATTACCTACCACAACACAAACTGGAATGGCTGGCAGTTGATACTAATACAATTTATATATTCACGTGTTTAGGAAACAAATGCTACAGCAGTAAAGAGAGGCTAGGACATAGTACAAGTATAAACCGTGGACAGATTTCTCTCATTAACCACTAGGGACTGGAGTAGCTGGAGAAGCTCCTCTAATGGCAATTGGGAGTAATGGAACCAACTGTTAGAGGCTATAAAATGTAACATGTCTCTCAGAGCACATGCTTTCATTGCTTCCTTTGTGAACATTCAGACTTCATTATGTAGCTAACCCTCAAAGTCACGATTGTAAAAGGCATATGTGCAAGAAAGGATTATTAAAGATTATACATGTTTGCAAAGAACAAGAACAAACAACTAGATATTAATCCATGCGCTTTGCATTGTTAATTTTTTATGCCATGAAAGGACTGGAAAGGTCAATTTAAACTTTCACCTTCCACCCAAGCACTGCAAATCTGTAAGCAGACCTAGTTATTTCCCGGAATAAAATTTAACCTCAGACTTTACCACCTCTGTCACAGAAATTGGAACAAATACATTTGAATACACTGAATTCTGAAAAGCTGCACTCAGAGAAACATGTCTCACAGCTTTGTTGATGGAATAAAGATCAAATAAAGCCTGTGTAAGAAGTTCATAAAATTTGTATCTATCTCATATGTTTTATCCTTAAGTTACTGAAAATTATGTAAAATCCCAAATCCAAATAGTAATTTATAACTGTAGATACCTTAGGCCAAGACATCAATGCTCCATGTCGAACAAAATACATACACAGGTACTTTTAAACATTTAAAGAAAACAGAGCATTTATGTGAGTCTTGAGTGAACATCTTTTTCTTCAACAGACAGGCAAAACCACCTCCCAAACTAGTGCTCCCTAATTACAGTTTGCAAATACAGGTTTTGGTGCACACATATGGACATCCAAACCCAACCATATTCTTAGTAATTTCTTATTAACTCTGGACACTCTCCCCATGGTCTATGTGAAAAATGCTGAAGTGAATCAAGCTGGAACTAAGTTTGGAGAACAAATCTTCTAGGATATAATACACTGAAAGTCTTGGCAATACCTGTAATATGGTTATGTTTGGCTAGAGCCTTCTACATACACTCCATCACACAAATAATTTTTCAGAATTTAAAAAAAGAGAGAAATGTAAAAAAGGAAAGAGACACGAAAAAAGTATTCAAAGGAAATCTTGAGCAATCAACTGAGGGAATTGTCCCTCATGCCATGCATGAAAGCCAGTTACAGGCAAGGACTAGATGGTCCCCAGAAGGTCTCTGCAAAGCAGAGTTCTGTGGAACTAAACTCAGAACAAAAAAAAGCTTTTCTATGAAAAGAAGCAACATACTAAATACAGTGTTGTCTGTATAGCTACACAGGAGCTCTGAGGGCACAGACATTCCCTCTGTTTGAATACCCTGAGGTCAAGAAGAAAAAAAGTAAGGGAATGGAGTAATGAAGTCGGTGAAAGATGCACCCTGACCTTTGATGGACAGTCTAGGATTGAAGTTTTGGTTACACAGCAAATTGTTTATATTGTAAACAGCTAAAAACAATTCAAGCCTCAATACGTTAAACACTGCCTATATGCATTTATTTAACATGACATTTGCAAAGGTTTTGGGCACATAGATGTGCCTATGACAGGCATTCTTTCAAATGCTACAAAAGCACATCAGTCATACATAGCAGAATCTATGCTTGCATATTTGGCTGTTGATTACCAAGTCATCTTTCAACAGATAGGAACTCTCAGCTGGAAGACTTTCCACAAGTGCTTATGTCCAAATTCTGAAGAACCTCTAAAGAATGTAAACTTGGCTGAGCCTGCTTTAACCAAGTTGTTTAGCTTCAAATTACTTCTATCATATTAAAAATCACATTTGCTTAAAAATACAATGAACACATTTTAAAGCAATATTTACCTTCTGACTGTCATGTTCAAAAGTTGAAAACCAATGTTCCGCAGTTTTCATAAGACATGTGAACATTGCACTGAAGGGGAAAAACCCAGAAACTTGGTGTTAAATAATGTATTACAAATAAGAGCAAATTAAATGTAAAGGAAGTTGTTAAAACTTACTAGGCATCATGTTCCAGATATTCAGGATTCAAAAGAACTTTCATTTCCTCACTGAAAAAGGCAACAGTGAACAATCTAATTGTGAATGTTTATTTTTGGTCAGCGTTCTGCATGTACTATTATGTATTTATAAGCCAACTTTCATATAAAGTGCAAATGAGAAAACTAGCCTTTTTAATTAAAAAGAGCAACTCCATTGAACAAATGAAGTCTTTCCTTTTTATGAAGATCAAAAACAAATTAGCTGCCTTGTCTACACTACAATGAAGTAACCATCTAATTATTCCAAATAACAAATTACTGAATGTCACAATGTATTATTTGAATATGCTTGATCTAGAATAATTGATTGCTGCACAATCTATCACTGTTTGTCCCAAACAACAAAAAAAATGGTTACTGGTCAAATATGCAGTATCAAAACATTAATTTATTTTGTTTTAATAGCCTGTATTTTTATTGTACTTTAACAGCAATTAATCAGTGACAGCACCTCTTTTCCATCTACTTTGCTGCTTAGCTCTACTTTTTCAGTGGGGATGGAAGAGAATGCTGTGCATAACAGTTATTTTAAGTTACTTAGCACTGAAGAGCATCTTCTAGGTAATTTCAGGATATCTAAGGACAGACATGGAATAAAAACACACACTTGTAAAAAACCTCCATCCTTATGCTTAACTGCCTTGGACAATCACGTTGAGGGGTACTAACAGAAGTTGCATTATATAGTACATGTAATTAATTGGCTTTTATTCACTGCTGGATTCCAAAAGAGAGTGCAAAAAGAGAAATGAAATGACTACAATATCACAAGTGACACAAGGCGGCAACTAGCTGTTTGTTTGTTTGTTTAAAAAAACAAACAACTTTACGTATAGGGCAAGAAAAGAAAGCATCTGAATATGGCTGACAGACAATCGTGTATGATGTAGTATTTTATACATATCTGTATAGTTACCTGCACACACACATGTACAGTTTGAATGAAATGGAGGATCAATAACTAAACTTAATGTTACTACCAAGTCAAAGGATAGTCAGATATTGCAGCTACAACATTGCAGGTAATGAAAGAAATATCAATCACAGCAATTCATCTACATTGATTTTTTTTTCTCTTTTAAGATATGAGGCAAGAGAGTTGATAACATGTCTGTTCTGACTGTAGATCTCTAATCTGACTCCTCTCTGCAATGACAAAAAAGAAACCATTTCTGGCAAAAAGAACTAAGTGAAATGGTAGGTAGGTATGTAAGCTTTTTAATTAAGGTTTTCCTTATGTTTCTTGCCTCCCCTTTTTCTGCCAGCTAGTATCTGTGAAGGGGCCAATGTCTACACTTCCAATTCCCCTTTCAGAAGCTGCAGTAGGGAAGATGAAATAAGGACATTCCCATCAAGGCACGAGGATGCAACAATTTCTGATGTCCATTTATCAATTACAAACAAAGAATTAAGAAACACTTCTAAGTTCTAGTCCAGCCAACTTATTTTTTTAAGAAAGCAGATTTTTAATACCATACAAATAAAATACAATGCTTGCCTTGGTTGTGCAGCTTCACTGGCATGTGAAAAAGCCTGGTGGTCACAATGCAGAATAAAGACAATGGGAGCTAAAAGTTCATGCATACCCTAAACATAAAAGGAAGCAAAAGTATAGTAAGATTTTTCCAGTTCCTAATGCATAGCATCAGGCAGCCAGCATTATGAGGTACAGACTAAATAAAAGCATAAACATTTACATTCTTAACAGAACAGTTTCATAATCAATAACTTTTATTTTAAATTCTGATTAAATACAAGTGTTTATTCTTCTATAATATTCAGAAGCAAGTTACTCTTCCTTTTTCTAACACAACAGACAACAAATTGGCAATAGCAGGCAACCCTGCACCTGGCAGTTTACTCCAAGATCTATGTTCATAAATATGAATTTTATTTATGATAATTACAATCATGATCTACAGTACAAAGATTTGCAATAGGGACAAATTACAAAATTTAAAATTATTTTTTATTTGATAATGTTCCAAAACCATAGATAAAAGTGTAACAGTAGGCTTCAGAGGAGACAAGGGCAGCTATTTGGGAAATTGGAAAATGAAACTTCAATTCCTATGGATGTGAGAAACAAAATGAGGTTTGTTGTGTTTTTTTTCCTTCAGTTGTTATGTCAATATTAAAAATAAACTTGTTATTAACAACACAATGCATAGGAGACCTGGTACTGTTGCATTACAGACTATTACTTATATATGCAATCTATATTAAGATAATATATTTAGGAAAAGAAATATAGAAACATGCAGGCATCAGAACAGAAAAAAACTGGTGGATAGTCGAGGACTTGGGCCAGCATTAGAAGCATGGCTGGGCCACCCAGGCCAGCCATCGGTGCTTTTACCCGGAGCTCACCAGGAACAGAAAAGGAGTCTTGATTTGCCTTGATTCACCTGGGGCTTGTCAATTTGTTATCAGGAGCAGAAGCAACTGCTTCAGGAAACAAGTAATCCAGTTGGCAAGCACCAATACACTGGCAGGTAGAACTATAGCCTGAAGAATGAAACCTCATCTTCAGCAGATATTCAGCCCCTTCCCTCAGATTAGATCAGGGAAAAGCAGGATTTGTGCATCGTAACTGGGGAATTTGGTTATGTCAAGGGAGTTGGGCTCCCAGTGGTGGACTAGGATGGCAGGCAGGAACTATGCAAGCTACAGGTTGGGCTGGGGGTCAGACATACAAAAGAAGTGAGGGGAGCCCTTGGTGATGGAAGGGATGTGGGATGAAGAGTTGAGACCTGTCTGGCTGCCTCTGGACACAGGGATCACTCCAGCGGGAGGGAACCCCTGACCTCAGCCCGAAAACACCAACTACAGCCAGGGCTTGGTGCCAGGCGCCCAGGCTACCTGTGCTGGGTCTCGCTCTGAGTGGAGTCCATGCCTGGCTGTAGGAGGAAGAGC